CTAGCAGCATAGATTTCCTTCTTGTATTCCTGTTTGTTTAAATCATTCATTTATCCCGAGTTGCTTCTCTGGGAAGGAATAAGAACAAAGGAGTAATCCTGTGTTTACAACAGAATCAGAAGCGTGCTTCTCCATCTCTAACACTAAGGACTAACCTATCTGCAAAAGAAACGCTAAAAGGACTTTTTATTCTACAGGTAAAATTTCCCAGAGACAAAAGATCAAATTAACCTAATTATTTGCTGTCAAAAAGAAGAATTGGAATTTAGAAATTACTCAGCCCTTTAAAACTTTGGATATATCATTAAGGTTCTAATTTTCTGGAACTGCTTCCATTCTATATTATTCAAATTCTTTCTTTCTTTTTTTGTCATTTAATTTATCAAGGAACTCATCTCTTTTCTGCAGGAATATCTAAATGTATTGAGGTGACATAACATTTACTTGGGAAGAATTAGACCATATTTATAAAAAGCATTTGATACACAAACTAAAAAAACTTTGGTTGCCATCAAGCCAACTATGACTCATGGTGACCCCACATGTGACACCATATGTGTCAGAGTGGAACTCTGCCCCACAGGGTTTACAATGGCTGATTTTTCATAAGTTGATTGCCAGGGTTTCAGTTAGCAGCAGAGCACGTTAATCATTTGCACCATCCAGGGATACTGTACTAAAATATATTCTGTAGGAATTGAGCAAACAGACCAATATAGATCAGAGTCATCAAGAAAGTTTTATACAGGAGGTAAAACTTGAGATGGGTCTTAGGAAACAGATTTTGAACTGTGTCCTAAAATGATGGAGAAATGCTAATATGGTTATGGGAAGAAGATAGGGATTTGTTGTTGTTGGGTGCCATTGAGTTGATTTTGACTTATAGTGACTCCAGGTGACAGAGTAGAACTGCCTCATAGGGTTTTCTAGGCTGTAATCTTTATAGAAGCAGATTGCCAGTGTTTTCTGCCGTGGAGTCACGGAGTTTGAACCTCCAACCTATCTGTTAGCAAACGAGTGCTTAACCATTTGTACCACTAGGGCTCCTTGATGGGACTATACTACTGTGCTAAAATAACCCTGCACTTATTTAGTTGTTGAAGCAATGACTTATGGAGGCCAATACGAAGAAACATGCAAGAGAACAGCTGGATCAAAGTCATTATTCTAGATGACAACAGTTGCATGTTTTTTAAAGCTATTTTGGTAGAATGCTAATAGATGATACACATGGACCCCCTTTCTTAGACCTTCTTCATAATAGCTCACATGGAAAAACCTGTCCATAAGTATTTTACCTGGGTCGTGGTTCCTATTTATGTCTCTGGTGCTTCCTCTCCTGCAAAGTGTGCACATTGTCATTTGGACTAAAGAGTAGGCTAGAACTAGGAGTCCTGGGTTCCAACTGTGGCTTAGTCACGAACTTGCATTGTGATTTTGAGCAGTGTTTGCTTAATATCATTTAGTTTTATTTGGTGCTTGTATTTAATGACTCATGATTCTAAGTGAGAATACACCTGCTCGTAAGGTCATGTTGCTTGTTTTTTTTTAGACAGAGTAACAATAGCCACATACTTGCAATTTACTCAATCATCCATAAAATTATAAAATACATAACCACTTTGGGTTTGAAACATGTTTTGATAAGAAAGTATTCATGTCCCCCGAGATATTTTGCAGCTTGGTGAACCCTACCCAATTCTGAATTCCAAAGGATGAGATGCTTCCTGATGTTCAGTTGGTCATAGGTATCCTTGTATTAAAAGGAATTCTGGGGCACAATGGTTAAGTGCTTGGCTACTGACAGAAAGGTTGGCTGTTCAAACCCACCAATGACTCCCTGGGAGGAAAACCTGGCCATCTGTTCCTGCAAAGATTACAAACTAGAAGCCCTGTGGAGCAGTTCTACTCTGTCACATGGGGTCACTATAAGTCAAAATCAACTTGACAAGCACCTAACAGTAACAACACCATCTTTGGATAGCATGCTTCAACATCAACCTTTGTTGAGGCTATTTTTATGAGAAAGATGATCCTCCTGCAGTGATAAAAATACACTGCTTTCTTTCCCCTGTATTCAACCAGAGCGCAGATTCTGATAAAAGTGTTTATCACAGGTCCTTCAAATGCCCTGCGTTTGTAAACTTCTACAATGTTTATGTTTCCTCTAGTGCTGCTGAAGATCCTGTGCTGGGCTCTGTTCTTCTGTGTTCTTGGAGGAAAACAGGGAGCTCACAGTGAGCAAAGACAGACGAGCGGCAGAGCTGCCGCTCAAGCAGTCTCATTTGCCCACTCTTTGTCTCTTTCTATTATCCTTGCACTTCGAAGGACATTTGCCAGATCCAGACTCCCCGGGTCCTTGTTATTTGCGTGTCTTTTCTCACCTTCAACATGATCTGAACTGGTGTTTTCATTTGTTAAAAACAACAAGAACATTCACTGGGAAACTTTTGCTGGCATTGTTTCAGGTCATCATAGCTAGTTATTCCCTGTCATAAACGATAATTCTCCGTTTCCCTTACTCCCACGTCAGGGGAGTTGGTGGTTTATGGTGGACAGTCAGTGGAATTTGAGTGAACAGTGGAAGATTTCAAAGAACTACTGAAACATTATGTAGCAGGTTGTAGTACTAAGAACAAAATATAAAATATTCTGGGTCTTGATCATACTTTGGCAGTATAAGAAGAAATAGGCTTACAAAATAGCACAAAGGATTTAGAATTTGTGGTTATACCTGAGAAAGAATTTTCTTGAAGGAAGAAAACAAATCATGGGATTGACTAATAAGGCATTTCCTTTATGCGATTAGGTATAATAGCCTAAGATCTCCATAATTGGGCTCAGTTTGGGGTAGGTATGGAAGCTAAGGAGTTTTTGCATACTTCTCACTAACTGAAGCATAGAATTTAGATTGTGGTCCTGTAGCAAAGGCCTGGATGACCTAGAGACTTGACAGGCAAGACATGTAGAACTATTGACAAAAAGGCTTGGATATGAGAATGGTAACAACAAGAAAGTCTCCAAATAGTTGAAAAGAATGAGAATACAAATGCAAGACAAAGACTGAAAGCTGTTTGCTCCCAGATGTAAATTCTACTGTTGATATTGTTGTAAACTAATTTTGCTTATAGAGGGTCAGCAAAAATGAGTGAAACCCTCAGTGAAATGGATTGACACAACAGCTACAACAATGAACTCCATCATAACCAATGATGGTGAAGATGGCACAGGACCAAGCAATGTTTAGTTCCGTTGTCCCTAAGGTTGCCATGAGTTGGAGCTGACTCAATGACAGCTAACAACAACAAATGGTGGTGTGATCAGTGATGTTGGTTGGAATATTATGGGCTTTGCTAGATCCCAGAAACCATGTTGATTAAATTGCGTCCATTCTCAAGATGCCACCAATCTGACAGTCTTACCGAGAGTGTCACAGAAATGCCATCACAGAAGGCTTCCAGTTAAGATACCACAAATGTGAAAAACAAGAGAAGGTCAAATTCAGCTCTACCTTGAAGCAGCTCTACCTTGAGGGAGAAATTTGGATGAGATCATTTGATTGTTTTCTGTAGGAAATAGTTTTCTAAGGACACAAGAAATTTCACATTTTCCCTGAAAACAAATTCCGCAAGCACTTACTATGCCTGAGTGCTTTCAATATCAAGGAGCTTCTTGATATCAATATCAAGCTTCTTTCTAAGCTCCAAGAGCATTCCTGATGAGGCAGCAGTGAGGAAGAAGGGGTTTTCATTAGCAAGACAACAAAACTTAGAGGTCTAGGTCATCAGTCATTGAGCGATCTGGGCTAGGAATTCCTCCATTTCTTTTATGCTTTGAATCCACAACCAAATCTACAACATGCCCTCTGTTTATAATACGAATAATAACCACCAGCCTTCTGGTTAGCAGTCAAATGCCTTCCGCACTACGCCACCAGAACTCCCATAGCTAAAGTAGGATAGCATAATTTGTGCTCATAGTTTTGTTGTTTGTGTCTAGTGTTTTATACTCAGGATTAAGAGATTTCACTCATATTAGAAAAAGTGGATGAGAACTATGTAGAATGTGAGCAAGTGGCCAAGCTCTCCTTTCATCCACCCTCACTCACACTCCTTGCATTTCTATTTGGGCTGAGTCGGACTACTGGAAATATAAGTCCAGTTCACCAGAATGCGGATGTGATGTGGACCATGGGAGCTCTGTATTGTAAACCTCTGAGAGCTGCAGACTCTGCACTGGCTTGGGCCTCAGGGTGATGGTCTGATGGCAGTGGTAGCACAGCTCGACTTCTGTTCAGTGTCACACATCCATCCCTCCTGATGGGGGTGGGGTGGGGTGGAATGGGAGGAAGTAAAACAAGAGTGTGCTCCTCCCTGACTGCCTCGGGGCAGGCTGCATGAGGGCCTTGAAACCTGCGTTAGCAACAGCATGGAGCCTTGAGTGAATGCAATTAGGAATTAATTACTGCTTCCAGGAAAGTGCATGGCAAGACAGAAACTCTTCTAATTTGGTTTACAAATGATTTTGCCACTATAACTCTGAATTTGTGTCCTGGTGTGTATGTTGGAAGAGAAGGAACCAGAGGACATTTGGTCTACCTGAATTATGAAACTAAATGAATGAACATATATTGTCTAAGGAAAATAAGATACAAAGAATCTACTGTTCTCCCACTTCTAGAGAAGTTCAGAGAACGTGCAGGACTCTGGTTTTCTTTTAACCTTCTTTGACGAAAAAGACTTGAAGGAGAGTGCATCTGTCTCTCGGACAGATAAGGTTTGGCCCCAGATTTAGAAGCAAAAAGCAAGCCTCAGAACTTCTAGGAGTTGTTGACTATAAACTCGCAAGCACCAGTTCCCACATTTGCACATTGAAAGTGGCATTTGGCTGTGATGTGGGCATGAGCAAGTGAAGCAACAGCTTACTGTACATATATTATAAAATGTCAGCTGATCCCCAAAGTGATTTTGGCTCCTTATCATCAGTTTCTTCTATTCTAGATGATCAGCTGAACTCAGAGGAGAAGAAGAAGAGAAAGCAGAGGAGGAACAGGACCACATTCAACAGCAGCCAGCTGCAAGCTTTGGAGCGCGTCTTTGAGCGGACGCACTATCCCGATGCTTTTGTGCGAGAAGACTTGGCCCGCAGGGTGAATCTCACTGAGGCCAGAGTGCAGGTAAAGCATACTGTGGGAGGCTGGCACCTCATATTCCCCTTCCCAGAGGCACATCCCTGAAGACTTTGAAAATGCAATTTTAGATTGCAGACAGGGGCTGGTACTCAAAAGGGTTATCAATGGGCAGCATGAGGACAGAATCCAGTTTCTAGCTGTTGCTTGGGGCAGCCCAATATTTAAAAATATGGAATGGAATGCTTTTAGGTAGGATGGAATTTTCCTTACTGCAGTTTCCCCTCTTCCATATTGTTTTCCACCTTCCAGATTCATACTATTGACATGGTCTGTCTGAGCCTTTGTGTTTTCAGCCCTAACTTTCAATTTGAGCTCTAGGGTGGCCCAAGACTCTCTGTCTCCCACCTCAGTTTTCCTCCCAGCCTTTGTGGATGTGCAGACCTTCAGGACACTCATTATACATGACGATGGACACTGGTGGGAGTGAGACATGAACACATGTAAGACCCTGCACTTAGGAACTGCATTGAGAGCAAATTCAAGATGATTATTTCATTTATCCTCACATGTCTCTGTAAAGTGAAGAAGAATAAGGACAGGTAAAACACGGTAAAGAGGCTATATCAATATTTTCTAACATTACTACTGTGACACATCCAGATATTTAGAAAATGACTTTGTTGTTGGCTGCCATTGAGTTGGCTCCGGTCCTGCACCATTTGAATTGATTATTGGCATGTCTGAGTCCATTGCTGTGACTATTGTGTAGTGCCTTTCAACCCAGGGGGTTCATCTTTCCTTACTACATTGGACAATATTGTGTTGTGTTCTATAAGGTTTTCATTGGCTAATTTTGGGAAATAGAACACTAGACCTTTATTTTTTTCTTTTTGGTGTGGTTGATTGTTCTGAAGTGTATAGACCTCCCTGATGTTATTGTTCACCGGAAAGGCATGTCTGTCATTTGGCTGAAGGTTGAGCCATGGGGGTAAGTTCATTTCCTAGTTTCAAGAGTGCCTAAGGGCCATCATCTTGGGGCTACCACCAGAGTCTCTATCAGACCAGTAAGTTGGGTCTTTTTCATGATTTTGAGTTTTGTCCCACCTTTTTCTTCCACTCTGTCTGGGACCTCCTATTATGATCCCTTTCAGAGACGTCAGCAATGCTACCCATGCACCATCTAGATCTTTTGGTCTCAGGGTTGTGGAGGCTGGGGTTCACATGGTCCATTAGTCCTTTGGACTAATTGTTTCCTTTCATTTTTGATTTTCTGTATTCTTCTTTGCTCTGGATGGGGAGAGATCAATAGTGGCACCTAACTACTCTGACTTAGTCTAAAAGCTTCACTGAAACCTGTCTACCATGAGTGATCCTGTTGGTATTTGAAATACTGGTGGCTTAGCTTCTAGCATCATAGCAGCCTGCAAGCCACCACAGTACAACAAAGTGACAGACATAATGACGTAATCTGATTAATAAAAATAATAGTGACAATAACATCAACTCAACTCACTGCCATCGAATCAAACCTGACTCATAGCAACTCTTCCTTGGGTTTCTGAGGCAGTATCACTACTGAAGCAGATAGCCCAACCTTCCTTCCGAGGAGTGGCTAGTGGGTTTGAACCACCAGCCTTCTGGTTAGCAGTCAAATGCCTTAGGCACTATGCTACCGGAGCTCCCGACAATAACATAGTAACTAATAAGACTTGTGAAGGAACACGGGGCAATCTACTTCTGTAGTGATACTGCCTCGGCAACCCAAGGAGGGGTCGCTATGAGTCTGGTCTGACTCGACAGCACATAACAACAACAACAACGATAATACGTGATCCCTTATTTGCCAAGTAGTGTTGTAAATTCTTTACATACACTAATCTACTTAATACAACAATTTTATGAGGTAGATAGTATTCCTCATCTTGCAGTTGGGGAAACTGAGGCACAGAGAAGTTAAAGTATTTCCTAGCCACACTAGGAAGTGGCTGAACTAGAATTTGACACGCAGACACAGAGTTCATGCTTTTAACCACTACAATAAACTTTGAATAAGTAAGAGTCTCTTGGCTAAGTGCTTTTCCAAGGAGTGCTTTGCAATCTTGCAAAGTCAGATTACAGGGGTTTGTCTTCCATGTTGCCAGTGGTCAGCTGCTATTTTGATGAGAGGGGTGGGCCAAATCTGTGTTGTCTTCCTAAATAAATTATTGTTTGTATATCTATGCTTAGTCTGAGTTTGAGGAATTTCTTTCTGCAAATGATAACCCTCTTGACTAGTGGAGACTTTAACTAGACTTAAGGGACTTGAGGGTTGGACCATGTCTTCACCATGAGGCACAGTAAGTGTAACAGACATTTGTTGAGTTGAAGGAGAGGGTCTTAGAGGTCCCTGAAGAGAAATTGTGGAAGTGTTTTCTGTGTAAGGAGACAGAGACTTCACCTAAAAACACTCCCCAAGAGACAAAAAGGAAAATGTCAGTAACAGAAGGGGAAAGTTGCCCTGGCCCTGTGGGGTCAACAGAGGATAGGATAGAAGAAAGTATGAGTGAAGGTACACACAACACTAGTTCACAATTCCTCAGGGCTCAGGTAAGAGTAACCCAGAGGAATAAAACTTGGTTTGATTCTTCCCATTCTGCCGTCCAAAGCAGAACTGTGAAGTTTGTTCTCCTACGTCCCTTTCCCCTATAGTACTTACCACAGGTCTCCAGCCATGCTCTCTGCTTCTACTCAAATCTCTTCCTCTCTCTTTTAACTTCCATATCTTTTATGCTCTGAGCTTGGCTTGCTGTGGTATAATGAATAATGTTAGAGCAGTGGTCTAATGTACCTGGAAGTACCCTACTGCCACGGAGATTTGGATTTTCAAGAAGGAAACCTAGAGAGGGTAATGCTGGGCTTGCTAATGCTGGAAATTAAAAGAAGAAATATGATAGAACAATTTTTGAGTCGGAAACCATTTTGCCTTCATCACCACCACCACCACTATCAACAACAAAAACCCACTGCAATTGAGTCTATTCCAACTCATAGCAATCCCCATTGATGGTAAATCTTTATAGAAGTTAGATTGCCCAGTCTACTTCTATGGGGTGGCTGGTGGGTTTGAACCACTAACCTTCTGGCTAGCACAGATGTCTTAGGTACGGTGCTACCAGAGCTCTTTACCTTCATCACAGAAAAAGAAAAAGAAAGAGAAAGACAAAGACAAAGACAAACCAAACTCACTGCTTCGAGTTGTTTCTGACTCAGCGAACCTTCCTCGGGTTTCTGAGGTGGTATCACTATGGAAGTAGATTTCCCAACCTTTCTTCCGAGGAGTGACTGGTGGGTGGGTTTGAACCACCAGCCTTCTGGTTAGCAGTCAAGTGCCTTAGGCACTACACTACCAGAGCCCCCTAGCTTCATCACAGCAATCAGTAAATGCCTTTCTTATATGTTGAAATGATTTTCTCTCCCCCACCCTCTTCCCACCCTACTATATTCTAATGACTTTCAGAGCTGTGACCTTTTCCTGAATGAATGGGATAAAAACTTTAATTTCCATTCCCCCCCCCCCCATGAAATCTTCCTCTATCCCAATCCAAACCAATCCGTTCTGACCTTGGACTTCTTTGCTTATATATTTATGGCATTTATCATAACATGACACGTATTATCTTGAGTTATATGTGAGTCAACTTTCCTCACTAGACAGTGAGGTCCTCTTGGATAAAAGCTGTGGCTTATTCATATTTCTATGTCCCATAACATCTAGAAGAGTCGTGCAAAATTCATTTCTTTATCCTTCCCTCTTTTCCTTCTACTTTTTTTCTCAAAACATTTATTGAGCATCTATTACATATTTGGAATTGTGTTTGGTGTTGAGGACAAATAGGTAAGTTCCTCCCATCAAAGATGTTGTGGATTGAGAGCAGAAAATACAAGCGCAATGTATTTACCCATGTAGTGCAATGATATAATTCCTACACTAAATGAAAGCACAAGAATTAGTGATAGTCCAGAGGAAAGAATGATCAATTCTGCCCGGAGAAAGAGGGAGAGAATAAACATTTAGCAAGCACTCTTTATGTGCCAATGCTCATAGCAACCTCATTATTATCTCCATTTTATTGATTGGGAGACAAAGGATCAGAGAAATCAAAACTTACCCAAGAACAAATCTTTAAAGTGGTGGTACCAAAAAATAAAAAAATAAAGTGGTGGTACCAGTACTTTTAGGAGTTCTGGTAGCATAGTGCCTAAGGCACTTGACTGCTAAACAGAAGGCTGGCGGTTCAAACCCACCAGCCACTCCTCGGAAGGAAGGTTGGGCAATCCTACTTCCATAGTGATACTGCCTCAGAAACCCAAGGAGGGGTCGCTATGAGTCGGGGCCGACTTGATGGCAAATAACAACAACAACAACAACCAGTACTTTTACCCAACTCTGTTTACAGACCTTAAAGTTCACACTCTTTCTTCTACAGCAGTACACAGAAATTAAAGTGAAAGTTGAATCTTGAAAAACATGGGTTTTGACAGCTGGACAAAAAGGAAGAATATGACAGACAGAGGAAGCACTGGCTATAAGTATATGAAGTGGGTAACTAGTCTAACACATAATAACATAGTCTGCAGGTTGTTGTGAGCTCAGAGTGGGTGTTGGAATGATCCTGGGCCAGGGCATGGGGTCTGAGTTATGAGGATGTGGCTAGATTGTTGGACAAAGAGCTAATTCATGAAGAGCCTTTTTTTCCATGGTAAGAAGTTTTGATTTCACTCTGAGTGATGAGTAGCCATGGATGGTATAAAGCAGGGCACTAATGTGATTATACTTGCATTTAAAATAACTCCACCAGTGATGTTCACCATATGTGTGTCAGCTTGTCATGGTGGCTTGCATGTTTCTATGCTGTTTGAAGCTACACTGCCAGTATTTCAAATACTGTCAGGGTCTTCCGTCATGGACAGATTTCAGTGGTGCTGGTGCTTGCAGACTAAGGCAAACAAAGAAGAAAGCCTTGGCAATCTACTTCTGAAAATTAACCAATGAAAACCCTGTGAATCACAACAGAATATTGTGATTGGAAGGTTGGAAGGCACGCAAAGTAAACCGTGGCTGCAACAATGGACTCAAACTTAACAGTGATCACGAAGATGGCACAGGCCTGACAACATTTGGTTCTGTTCTACTGAAGGTTGCCATGAGTTGAAGCCTGAACAGAAGAACTGAATAACAATGTAAAGGGCACATTAAAAGCAGAAGAGTCAGAAGACCAGGAAGCCAAGGATGAGGTATCCAGATTTCACCTTCACTGATTCCCACCAAGGGCCTTGGTGCTGCACTACTGCACAAGGCCTGCTGTGGAGTCGGATTGGACTCATAGCGACCCCTCCTTGGGTTTCCAAGGCAGTATTTCTATAGAGGTAGATTGCCCACCAGTCACATAAGTCTTATGAGAAACTTGTCCCCTATGCTGTGCAGCTGTCCCACTCCACACCAGAGAATTTCCTTCCTTTCGTATGTTTGCCATACCTTGTCATGTGTTTCTTTAACTGCACCCATAATACTGGTTTTATAGTTTTTAAAATTTACATGCGTGCTTCCTTTATAGACTATGAACAACTTAAGGGCAGAGAATACGAGTATCACTCATAATCCCAAGATTCAGACATTAACCCAGCTACCATTTTACTGTATAATATTTGGAAATTTTTTATGCATACATTGTCATGAATGTTTTAAAAGAATCATTACACCTTTTGCCAATTACTGACCAGCAAAGAATATGCCAATATATGCTCCTACTTTCTGTATATGAGCACCTCAATTATTAGAATTTTTGAGAAGTTAACTATGTTGGGAAATAATATCTTGTTATTTTATTTAGAATTTATGTTACTCTAATGTGCATGACTGATTATCATTTTGCACTTATTTTTTAATTTATATTTCTTCTTTGGTGAACTGATGTTCATGAAGTGATAATCATCCAAATATTTATCATATAGATTAACTGCTGTTTTTATTTTGGTATAATTGCTCTCAATCTTTTTTATTTTTATAAATTGTTTAAGCTACATAAATAGTAGATGATAAAATTGTCTCTTTTTAATAAGAGAAACAACATTGTACATCAGGCTAAAAGAGACAGAGACAGAAGGCAGAGAACACGTCTTTCTCTGGTCGGTATTCCCAGCATTTAGCACAGGGCCTGAAGACAGAGGCACTCCATAAATATTTCTTAAATAAGCAAATGAATGAAGAAAATTGCATTACAGTCTAAAATGATTGCACAATTATGAGCTGGACAATTTGAGTTAACAGTCTCAGTCATTTGAGTGATCTTCACCAGATTACTTAATCTCATGGACCCTTTGTTTGCTCAACTCTAAACTAGAAATTATATCAGACAGTGTTTCAGTGCTATTCATAAGGTTTTCACTGGTCAGTGTTTTCAGAAGTAGGTGGCCCCGTCCTTCTTTCCAGTCTTTCTTTGTCCGGAAGCTCCCTTGTAACCTGTCCACCATGGGTGACCCTGCTGGTATTTGAAATACTGGTGGCAAAGCCTCCAGCCTCACAGCAACACATCAGCCCCCACAATACAACAAACTGACAAACAAGTGGTGGTATTAGAAATAATAAAAGTTAATATGTGGAATTGTCATGATGACTAGAAATAATGTATGCAACGTGCCTATATTAGTTCTTAGCTGTATTAGCACTTAGTAAATGGTAGATTTACTTATCGCAAATGCTGTCTGTGTTGTTCATATCCCTCAAATTCTACAATTAAATGTAGAGTCAACTTCTAATATCTAGTATCCTCACTGCATATCAAAAGCTTCTCTTTAGAACTGCAGGAGAATGCCTTGTCTGCGTTCAGCATGCCAGGAGTGCTGGAATGTTAGTGGCAATAACTCATGGGAACTGGTGTACAAATACCCAGTTCCCTCAAACCTCAGGTCCGAAGTATGTGTTCTCCATTAGTCTTCAGAGTCCCTGTGGGATTGAGCTGTCAGTCACGGAGGTTGCTGGCTTAATTGAAAAACAAGAACAACAAAAAACAACAGCTAGTTTCCATCGAGTTGACTCTGACTCTTGATGACTCCATGTGTGTTAGAGTAGAACTGTGCTCCAAAGGTTTTTTTTTTTTTTTTTAATTGTGATTTGGGTGAAGATTTACAGAGCAAATTCACTCTCCATACAGCAGTTCACATATAATTTGTCTCATGTCATTGACCATAGTTTACCACAATACAACAACTCCCCTCCCACTTCCTCCCCATAGCTACCACTTCCCAGTGTCCATCCCTCCATACTTTCCTGCCCCCTGAGCTGTCTCCCTGTGCATAAGCAGCCCTTCCTTCTCCCATGATTGTTCTCTCCAGGGCGTGTGTCTACTTGAGGTAAATGTTCAACTCACATGCCTGTACTTTGTTTGGCTGGAAACCACAGGTGTGGCTTCAATTCCAGACCTGAAGGGTAGCTAGGGGCCATAGTCTCAGTGGTTCCACCCAGCTCTATTGGACCAGCAAACCTGGTCCCAACCATCCCCCCCCTTTTTTTCTCCCCCTCCAAATGATTTTGAGTTTTGTTCCACATTGTTCTCCCTCTCTATCCAGGATCTCCTACATCCCTTCCAAGTGGATGACAGTGGTAGCCGGGCACCATCTAGTTCTTCTGGTCTCGTAGTTGTATAGGTTGCAGATCGGATGGTGTACCAGTCGTGCGAACTGATTGTTTCCATTAATTTTGGTTTTCTTCTTTCTTCTTTGCTCTTGACGAGGAGAGACCCATCGTTACATCTAGATGGCAGCTTGCTAGCTTCCAAAGGATTTTCAATGGTTAAATTTTCAGAAATAGATCACCAGGCCTTTCTTCTGAAGCACCTCTGAGTGGCCTCAAAGGTCCAGGCTTTCAGTCAGCAGCTGAGCTCATTAAACGTTTGCACCACACAGGGATTCCTAACAGTGCACCCTTTAGTGGCTGTTCTTTCTTCTCTGTGTTCCTTCTCCTCGCCTCTACTGGTGTTCCTTGGACCTCCCAAACAAACCATTTGCTTCTTGAATGCTTGTCTCAGAGTCTGCTTTTGGGGGAATCCAGAATTTTTTTAAATATCTAATAAGTATGTTGAAAAAGGAGCAGATGAAATGTACACATTTTGGAAAACTAAAACAACAAACAAACAAATGCCTTTAGAAATGGTATTGTATCTATGGCCAAAGTCCAATGAGATTTTTCTTCTTTTTCTTGATCATTGATTACAACAGGGTCCATAACCCATATTTTGATGTCACATAGATCCATCATGGATCCCAGCTCTGGATGCTTGATTACTGGAAGTACCTCATGATCCTGTTACCTTAGTCTTAACCCACAATAGCTCTATAACATAGTCCACTAGGAAAAGACTATGATGTATTCTGCTGTTCTAGGGAAAATTCCCTACCCATTTGCTATCATCCTTGGGAAGACCTCGTATAGTAAAATCAACCAGAACTTCATTCATGTAACCTCTTCTTCTCTCTTTTTTTCCTCCCTCTACATGCCCTTCTCTCCTCCCAACAATCTTCCAGGTCTGGTTTCAGAACCGAAGAGCTAAATTCCGCAGGAATGAGAGAGCCATGCTGGCCAATAAAAACGCTTCCCTCCTTAAATCCTACTCAGGGGACGTGACGGCTGTGGAGCAGCCCATCGTACCTCGTCCTGCTCCAAGACCCACCGATTATCTCTCCTGGGGGACGGCCTCTCCGTACAGGTGAATGACTGGCCCACTCTCCCTTGCTCCGCTTCCACGTTTCCCAGCGTGGGTCATGTTCAAAGCTGCCTGTGCAGCTGGCTGACATTTCTTACTGGGTTAACCTCTTCAGAGACATTCAACTTACTGACATCCCCAGATTTTCACAGGAGATTACTAGTTGCCCCAGGAGCAGGGTTTGGGGCAGAAGAGTTTTGGGGCAGGCCATCAGCAGCCTCCTCTTGGACTCAGGAACTCTTGTGAAGGTTTCAAAGATGGGAAAGAATCTAAAAGAAAAGATCATTAAGCTGCACCCTATGTCCTGCTTGCAACCATTCTGGAACAAAACTTTACCCTATATCCAAATTTAAGATAGAAATGCTTTTGTTATGCATAAGTAGGAACTTAATTTGTAAGGCTGTGAGATTGTAGGCAAAATTCACAGTAAAACTGATTACTAATCTGAAGGAAGGAAGGACAAAAAGAGGGTGAAGGGGAGGGAGAGGCAGAGGAGGAAGATAAATAGGAAGGAAGGGAAGGAAAGGATGAAAGGATGAAAGGATGAAAGAAATAAAGAAAACCCAAGTTCATTTATGAGTGAGGAATTGAAATCATCCTGAATTATGATTGATTAGATTTCCTGGCCACAGTTCTTTGTTAGTAGGTGGGGATGTCTTAGGATCACAAATGCCTTCCTATTCTATTGCTAATTCTTATCTACTTGTCTAAACTCTTCTTTGGGGGGGTCAGTCTGTATGTGTAATTTTTTTTCTAATATAAAAAGAATGTAAAACGTACACTAAACTTTTATATTATGAAACTAAAATTTTTGAAGCAGAAAATAACAAAGTACTATTTCAATCTCATAGAGAGGATTTCAGCCTCCATTTATTATTCTGTTCAGAAACCATAGGGAAGATAACAGAAGGAAGCTGGGATACAAATGTCTAGCATATTGTGATTAATCTAGAGTGCCTTTCTTCAGATCTAAACCTGAATATTCTTCAAAACCAGATCAAGGCTAAAGATCCTCTCTGACCGATTTTGGTGGAGGAGGAAGTATTCACTAATTCATTTATTATGCTTTTGTTTACCTTTTTATTATTAAGATTAGTTATTGGTTTAAGGAGTGATTTAGACTAATTATAGATTATCTTCCAGCTGAACATGATCTGAAATGCCACATTAGTGAAATGTAAATACCTTCCAAAGAGTAATGACTCTAAGCAACCTGAATGTGCTTTCTGTTCCAATCAGTTCCTTGAAAGAAACAGCATAAATGCATTTGGAAATTTCTTTTGTATCCTCCCATGTGAAATTAGCCAGAATTCCTTTGGTCTTAGTGTAGAGTGACCCCATGTATAAACCAAAAATAACCAAATCCACTGCCATCGAGTTGATTTTGACCTACAGGACATAATAGAACTGCCCCATAGGGTTTTCAAGGCTGTAAATCTTTACAGAAGGTGATTGCTTCATCGTTCTTCTGTGGAGTGGCTGGTGGATTCGAACCGCCTACTTTTAGCAGCGCAATGCCTTAACCCCTGTACCATCAGAGCTCCTAATTCTGAGGCCCCATTGCTCTCAGACATGGTATGCCTTGCTGATTTTGAGAGATTAATCACACCTGTGTGTCCTACTTAAATTTTAGCCTCCTGTCCCATAGGAATGTTTACTGTTTACTATAAAAAACATTTTAAAGTGCATTCTGAAATCACATATTCTTCAATATGGGAAGACTGCTTTGTTTCTCTTACAAATATTAGTAGTTGATGAGAGACCCAGTAAACACTTGGGAAATGGGTGTATTCCAAAGCCTGATGTTTCAAGGTCTCTGGTTTGAATTTGGTCACAACCAGGAAGCATTGCTCCTTTTCCTGCCTGGGTCCTACTTAGGAACTTTTTGCAGCAGCTGTAGGCAGTCCAGATGGCTGTCATTTGGTCCTTGCCAGTGAGAGGCTGAGGGCAGAATACCGCATGAGTGAGGGGTTGAAACCCTCCTGAATTATGATTGGATTAGATTGCTGGACTTGGCACAAGTTCAAGCCCCAGGGTCTGCATCATATATGTTCTGTATATGAGCATCTAACTGGAACTATTAACATGACCATGTGCCTTTTGGGGAAATACTTTATTTTAACTGAAAAGATAATATAGAAATACTAGATACATTTTTCAAAAGCACTCATAATTCCACCATGCTGATATAATGAGTTTGTTCATTTTTGCCATTTAGAGTTCAATATTTTCTATGGGTAGAGTCTTAGTGTACATATTATTTTGTATTCTGCTCTTTTTACATAAAATCATATAACCAAGAACTTTTTACTCATTTCATGGTATACTTTTATATAGCTTCTCTCTTAGATACAGAGTTTGTAAAGATTAATTAAAATAACATAGAATCTGATTGTTCCTATTCTGTATGAAGAATAAATTAATCTCCAGATACAAATAGAGAAGTGATGGTTTAAAGCGGTAATTTAATCCATAATTATGTTTTTGACCCAATGTTGACTGGAGTGGTTAATTATTTTGGTTAATTACTAAAAATAGTAAACAGCTGTTCTGTTACTTGGAGACTTTTCTGTGATGTTTAGAAACAAAATACATTATCATTTCATTCACATTTTGAAGCGTGGTAGGAAATGTAACTATTGTTAAGGAGATATAAAAGAAAAACAAGTGACAAGAAGCAAAGGAAATGTTAGACTTTTTGTGTTATAGCAAAGTAACTCGCTATTCCTGTTGGTACTATTATGCCAAATTAGTTATCTCACATGTGACATTCATTAAAACGCTTTTCTCTTGATTAATCCTTGGAACACTGCTGTGTGGTAGCTCTGTCTTTGCTCCCATTCCAAAGAAGAGGAAACTGAACACTTGCCCAAGTTTAAGTCTTCAGCCAGCAGAATTAGAATCAGTGCTTGTGCTACCTCCTTCTGTCCCACATACTAGGCCACATGACCATAAACTTCACATTCTATTGAAAGTAGCAAAACATATACAGCTGGAAAAATATCTAACCATCACCTTCTGATTTAGGGTCTGTTCTCAGATCAGGGAAACATACCTTCAGCTAAAGCTCACATTCTGGGGTGTATGGGCATTGCGTTGGGGTGACTAATGTGGCTGGGTCTTGCAACTCAGTGACACTGAGCAAGCAGCTCTGCCAGAAAGGACAGTTTACTGACTTCCACAGCTCTCCTCGAAGAAGAAAGGAGGAAACCAAGGCTCAAAAGCAATTGTTTGCATACTGTCAGAATCAAGGGCTGGGAAATAGCTTATATATATATATATATATATATATATATATATATATTTAACTCTCCCTGGGTGTCATTTATATCCAGAGTGGCTGTACAATTTATCATCCAAACATGACACTTTGAGAGTGAAAGGAGAATGCTATTAATAATTGCACTAGGAAAACAGGCATACACTGGGATTGTCCCTGGCAAATTGGAACATATGGTTCACTCTATTTATAGCTCGGCATGACCTGGTTTGCTATCCTGAACACTTCTGAGGTTATGATGTCAGGCAGGCAACTGAGTCACCAGAGGGAGCAAAGTATCCTCTAACACTACTGTCTTGGCAGGTGTCTTCTCTATCTACCCATGGTCAGTTGAAGGAAGCTTATTTTTGGCACAGACCCCACTGACTAGCCCAAAACTATTTTCCTTAGGCAAATTGTGGGGATAAATGCATAGACAAGTGCTAGAGTTACAAGATTCACTAATCTTGCAGTATTTTGCCTTTTGGGTAGCAGTGATTAATATAGTCCCGGAGTTTTGACTATTATTTGAGATGAAGTAGCCAAGAAACCTTTCCCCAGAGAGATTCTCTCCTTAGAGGTAGATGGAGAATGATCTGGCTTTGCAGTGTTGGTCTGCAGTGCCATTTCCAAAGGGAGAGCTGGGTTCAAAAACAAAAACAAAAGAATTAATGACAACTAAAAGAAAGGCACCTCTCCTTGTCCACTGTTTCCCTTTCCCATCCTTCTCCTCCTCCTCCCCTCATTTGATCGTGGTCACAGTGCTGCCTGACATCTGCTGAACGCATTTGGCTCATTTCTCCCTTTCACACTTTCAAAAATAGATCCTCGTCCCTCCCAAGATGTTGTTTACACGAGGGGCTTCATAACGGATTCTAACGGAAGACACTGAAAAGGTAACTTGTCAGAGGGGCAAGAGGGGGGTTGCTGGGGGTAGGGTTTAAGTGGGAAGTAAGTGTGTTCAAGTAAGTGGGGGTTGCAGTCCTAGAAATGTAAGCAGTGAGATCCTTGAGTGGGGTATACAATTGGAAACTGGAGCTGCAAGAAAATATGTCCTTAAAATTAAGGGTAGTCTAGAACATTGCTCACCAAACATGGCTGTTAGGATTCCCCTGGATCTTGTTACAATGCAGACTCAGTGGGTCTGGGGTGGGGCCTGAGATTTTGTATCTCAAATCCCTCTCAAATGAAGGTGATGCTGTTGACACCTGGAACATACTTTGAGTAGCGAGAATTCAGATGACTGTAGGCTATGGGGCAGGGGTTGGAAGAACTGTGTTCTTGTCCTAGCTCCTGTTGTATCCCAGGCCAGTTGATTCATTGGATCTCTTTTGCAGCCTTTGTATTTAAAATCAAGCTAGCAATAGTTTCCTTATTATATATTTCACTGGGGTGTTTAGAACCTATAGGTAAGAAATGTGCCTTTAAATAAAGAAAAATCAAAACCCATTGAGACAATCAAAAGTTGCAAGATGCTTTATATATTAAATCAAGAAAATATATTATATTATATCAAGAAAAGTTAAAAATAGCAGAAGGAACTCAATATGCAGTGCAATTTGTAGCCTTACTTATGAAATGAGGTGCAGATATGTTCAGTTGAAAGCACTAAATATATACTTAAAAAGTCAACTTCTGCATTTTAAAAACAGAAGTTAGAGATGATGATTAAAATCATAAAAGATCACTTCCAAAATGATTTATGGGATCTCTCTTTTAGAAGTAAACTTCCCTAGGAAAACTG